GCAAGGTTTTAAAAATAATTCTTACTTAAATTTTTACTTAAATAATTTTGAAAATTTTTCTTTAATTAAGTTCATTCAATGAGGCGTAATTCATTTTTAAGATAAATATATTATTTTTCCAAGTACTTACAAAGTATGATGGCTTGGCAATGTTATGGCGTTGCACATGTGATCTGGCAATTTCTTGCCAGATTTCTTGTATCTTTTGCAGACCACCCTCTTCCTCCAGCTGGCTGATTGACTGATCAAAGGTCTTGATAATGCGACCACAGTGAGCACGGAAACGTGCGCTGTTCTGTAATTAATAAAAGAAAATTATTACCGTAAAATGTTGATTGAAAATAAAGGTCTTTTAGACACATTAAATCAATCAAAACTGACGAAATTTCAAAGTAGCTATAGTTGAAAGAGCTTGAGTCAATTTAAACTAGTTGAGTTCCAATGAAAATTTGAGCATAATCCATTTGTTTATTATTGAAAGCTAGTGATTCTAAAATATTTTTTAAGTTTTATATCGAGTTTCAAAGCAATTCGTGGTAATGAGAGCAATTGCTGCTCTTACTTTAAGTTCATTTAAAGAAGTCCTCACATACTCTATATACTCACACTTAATTCCTCAATTGGCACATCTCGGAACGGGAATTTCTCCAAATTGGACGGATATTTTGTGAAGAATCTGATCAAAATCGCCGCACCGGAATCAGTGGGTGTAGCAACTGGAATGGCCCAGGTTTTCTTGATCTCAGCAATATCCTCAGCGTTCAATGCCATTTTATTATAATCGATTTTTGCTTTGGTTTTACTCTTACAAAAGTAGTTTTAATTAGTAAAGCTTAAGCTTTAGCTTATCTTTGATAGTYTCTGCAAAGATAAAATAAACAAAGGAATTTACAATCAATTAAAAATATAATAATCTAAATCACATTTAACATACTGACAAATGCTCTAACTCGCTTGTGAATTATTTTCGTTAGCAATCGATGTTTTTTTGTCAGTTCGTGGCAGTGATGTGCCCTTTAATCGCGTACAAAAATCCTTTTCGTGTATTTTTACTAATTAATGGCGTAATACAAACAGAAGAGCTCAGCAATCAAAATGCCTTTGCCTATACATACACGAATCTGAATCTTTATGGGAATTCACAAATAAATTTGTATGCTTTGTAGGAAAAAGTATACTTATGATACTACATTATACTTATATAAGATTGCAAAAATTTTTTTTACCCAACCAAACATACATATGTATATGTGTATCGTATCCGCATTTAATCACTTAGTCCGTCTATCAGTTGACAGCTTGTCAGAAGTAAAGTACACAAAGCGAAGCCACAAGCTCAACCAACAATTTTATACATGTCGGCCATAGCAACTGACTTACACTCTTTGCTAGTTGGTAAGCTCTTTGGTAAACATCTGTTGGAAGCTGTCTCCAGCTGGCAGACAATGAACTTGTTGCGAACGCTAGCCAAGGGTACGAAAGGTGGAAATACCAAGCAAATGGCACAGATGCTATAGTAAAAGCGAAGTGTTACGGGGGAAGCAAGCAGAAAGTTTATAAAATACCTTAGTAAATAATTCAAGTGGATATGAAAGCATGTATAAATCACGTTACGTATACGCCATGTAAGTCCCTTCATTTCACCTTTTATGTTGGTGCCTTTGAGTGGAAATTCAAATCAATTGAAATGGAAATATTTGTATTTATCTTTTGTTTGATCATTGTATTTTATTACAAAATTTTGTAAGAAGACTTAAAGCATGACCTTTACCTGTGTTTTTCTATATTTTTATTTAATTTAATTTTTTTCTTATTGATGGAACGCAATAAATTAATTAAAAATTTTTCGCCTTTCTATGGAAAATTCGAATTCTAAAATTTATTTGTTTATTACAATAGTTAACTCTAAAGTTTAGCTAAATTTTCWCATTATGTAGGCTTAAAAATGGTTTTGTGGTCTGTCACAAATTCGTCTATATTTTTAGTTTTTTTTTTGTTTTTGGAGAAGAGAAGAATTTAAGATCTATATCTATCAAGATTTATCGAATGCATTACGAAATCAGCCGGTTAGTGAATTTAGTTTTCCAGTTAATACGCTATTTGAAAGTTACTGAACTTTACTTTATATTTTTGAAATGTAGCAATCTTCTTGCACCCTGGAGTACATATGTTTTCAATATGAGGAATATCATGACATCTTCATTAAACTCATAAAATATCAATTATATAATGGGTTTCGATTCAGTGAAAGTGTAATGTTAATTAATATATTAAAGAAGCTTTGAATAATTCAATATCTGTTATGCTTTACCATTCCCACAATGTAGCTTTTAGAAGATTCCTGAAATTTCTGGTAGAATTTTTGGAACAAAAAATATATATACCATATAT